TTTTAATATAAGTTACATTTTTTTTACAACTTTAATATTGAAGTTACCTAAATATTTTTAATAAATTATTTTTATATTTATTTATTATTAATATTTCAATTACTTCAATATCTAAGCAGCACAATATATATGCACTTGGACCTTCTGGTCCAGTGACATCAGACCACACATAAGTGCATTCCTCTACCTCTTTTAAAATAATGGTTTGAATTCAACTATTTGTGAATTTATTAAAAAAAATATATATCACAATATATATATATATATATGTATATATACAATCTATATTAAAAGTGACTTTTGTAAATACAACAGTCTTGACTAGAACGTAAAAGCAGTAGAAGAATTTTTTTTATTCAGAAAGAACATCCCACTAGCCGCAAAAGGAGGAGATTTTCACGTGCCACCGACCGGCATGGGGATTCCGACCAGGGACATCATCATACTTACTTCCATTAAACTTAATCAAATCAATAATTAATTTAAAGAATCCTTTTAAAAGAAAAATTAATTTAAAGAGGCTTAATGCTAGATTTGGTCCTTTAACTTGTTTTCTTGGTCCTATTTTGATTCCTAAAGTTATTAGGTATCTAAATAGTCCTTGAACTAATTTTTTTTTTTATTTGATACTAACTGATCATTAGATATACTAAAAAGTTTTAAAAAATTACTAAAAAGTTTTTAAAATATTCACCCAAATAATTAACTTATTTAAAACTTTAATTAAGAAAAAGATTAAAACAAAAAGAGATCTCTAGGTTCTACAATGTCATAGAACCTAGACTTTAGGTTCCCTAATGCTGAAGAAACCAATGGTTTTAGCTCTAGCATGGACTCCACGCTAGAGAACCCAAATCTTCACAAGCCTTAACCTTCTGTTTCTTTTCATTATGGTAAACTTCTAAAACTTTCTTAGTTATAAAATAGATAAACTTCATTATCAATGTTAGTGTAAAATTAGTCATTATCATTACATGTTCAAACAGATAATTAGACAATGGAAATTTTTTAGTTGAAACTCTGGTTAGATAATTAGACAATGGAGATTTTTCAGTTGAAACTTTGGTTCACAAAATAAGTGATGTAACTAGTGGAAAGAGATAAGAGGGGAAAGAGACAAGAGAAATTGAGTCCTTTTTTTTTTTTTTTCTCCAATATGACTCTATGTAGACATCTATTTCCACTAATTAGTCCAGGTGACTGAACCAAGCCTCGTGACGTAATGGTTCCCAATCCAACCTTTGGTTCCTAATCCAACCCCAACCATAGAGGCTTAATTAGCAACCATCAAGTCTTGGTTTTGACTTAAACCAGTGATACATTAAAATATTAAGGGTAAATTTCTTTACAATGATTCCATCCCTCTTTCTATCTTGATTGAATGGGGATTCTAAATTACATCTCAACTTAGTGAAATGGCTCTAATCAAATTTATTATAAATATATTCAAAATTTACTTGTTTGAGATAATCATTTTTTTAAATGCCTTGTTTACCCTTCTTCTTCAATTACCCATTCAACCCCTTCTTTCTCCCTTCTTTAATCTTGTCATTCCTTCATCCTATGAAATCTTTTGTTTGATTGATATTTTACCCATTTGTTTAAGCTTTTGGTTAACCATTCACGGGCTATTCTCTTAATTGAACCTTTTTCTTTTCTTCTTCTC